TTCTACAGAAGTCTACATCTTGAAGGTTTTGAATGGAGTTATTGTTCATATTGAAAAGACCCACTTTTCCTGGAAGGTCTGTTGGAATATCTGACATTTGGCGGCCAGAACAGTCAACGTTAATGAAGTAATCCGAATTATTGCTGACACAAAAACAATTGCATGGTTCAGGACAATGTTGAGGCCAAATAAGAAGTTCACTCTCCTTTAAGTGTCTGAAGTGACGATTTTTTAACCACTGTGGTTGAAAACATCTGGGTCTATCTATCACTTTCCTTTTTTCTCTACTCCAACGTAGAAGCCACGTGATACGACAATCACAAGCCAGCGGGTTACCTTTAAAGTTATAAACAAAGCAGAAAACGTGTGAAATCTATAGAAAATTATTTAATAATAACGTTGATACAATTTACATTTTGTTCTGGTAATTATGGAATTACTTGAACAGGAAGATGTGCAGTTGTTTTTAATTATGTTTCATATTTTAATTTCGAATTAAAAAGGATACTTGTTGCAACCTAGAGAAAAGAACATTACCCAAGAACACTATGTACTGCCCAAGTTTAATGTATTCCTTGTACACACCAATAATTTAATATAAAAATATGTTTCTCAACAGTTTTTTAGAAACAATAGAACTTAAGTTATTTACTTGTTCCAACAGATTTCTCTTTCAAAATATGCAACAGATTTGTGGGGATACTCACCCCATATTTTAATATGCCATAGGTTTTTCAGCTGTTCTGGAAAACTTTCCCTCGACAACGTCTCCAAACGATTCGCTCCCACAAAGAGAACAGCCAGGAGTTTCATGTTAACAAATGCTCCTTCGACTGAGACGAGTCTGTTTGATGAAATTTTTAATTTATACAACCCTTGAGTTCTGTTAAAGTCGGTAGCGTTCAGATGTGTGAGACGGTTGTTGAATAAGTCTAGAACCTGAAGCCAAGGAACATACTGCAAAGACCCATTCAAACTTTGGATCAAGTTGTGGTTCAGGATTAGGAGTTTCAACTTTCTAAGACCTTGAAACGCGTTTGATGCTAGCCATGTAATCTTGTTCCTGGAAAGTATTAGATTGTGCAACATTTCGTTGTTCTGAAACGTTTGGCCTTCAATACAAGATAAGACATTATCGGTCAGTAACAAATATTGTAATTTGGGCAGTTTATCCAATGCCCCTTTTATATTTCTTATTCGGTTGTGGCCCACATTCAGAGTTTCCACTGGCATGTTAAAGAAGAGCCCATTGATGGTTACCAGCTGATTCCTAAAGAGGTTAATATCAACCAGAGGTAAATTGTCAAATGTTGTGTTTTCAAATTCAACTATATGATTGTTACTTAGATCTAATTTGCGAAGAAAGAGCATTTTCTGAAATGTTTCTTTATGAACCGATCTTAATTCCATGTGATCTAGTAGCAACAAATTCAACGACACATAATTATTGTCAAATGTTTCTTTTCTCAACGATTGTAAAGGGTTATTTGATAGAAAAAGTTCTTTCACATGAAATAACCTCGTTGAAGTTAACTTGTCGATATTAGTAAGGTTGTTGTTCACTAGGATCACCTTCTGTAAGATATATAAATAACATGTTAAGCTCTGTTTGAAAGATATATATAAAACACACTGAAAGAAGAAAGATTCATTAAGTTCACCTTCTGTTAAATATGTGAATAACATGTTTATTCCTCTGTCAAAAATGTATATGACCTATTATAATAATATATATTCATTAAGTTCATCTTCTGTGTAAGATATATGAATAACATGTTTAGCTTTCTGTGGGAGATGTATATAATGAAGTATTTGAGGCATTCTGGGAAGAATTACAAATGCTTTAATGAATGAAAATAGAATTTTCCGAACATCTATGTCTGAAACACATAATGAACAAAGAAGGATATGTATATGATAGATGAATACTGTAATGCAGGATATGTATATCATCTATCATATACATATCCTGCATTACAGTATTCATCTATCATAACTGTAATGCATTCCAAGCTGCAGTACATCTACATCTTTCCTTATCTACATTATCTTATTTTATGTTTGTCTTATCTACATAAACAGACGTGATTACAGCCTAGAGAAGGCTACAGAAAGTTTACATTATCGATGCTAACTACAGGAAGTGAATTCTATACAAAAAACTCATTATTGGAACTTTGATAGAAAGGAAGATGAGGAGAAATACGTGCATGAGTCAACAAAATTCATCCAATAAAATGATGGATCTACTTGCAAGATAAATGCGTACACTAATTGGAGAATCATAAGAATACAAAGGCAGAGACTCAACGTTCATTCAAGAGCAGATATTGATTGCAGATCCAGAAGAACCAAATACCTTCAGACTTATGAAAATGTTAATAAATTAACCGTTCAAACTCCATGGTTAAATATCGTGGGTAGAAACTGTTCTAAATTAGAAGAACTCACAAATTAGGTTATGTGTATTTCACAAAATGTTTTAATTTAACCTATTTGTTACGGTAAGAGGTTTGGTCAATATTACTGAAGCATTGATTAATGAACAACTGATCAATCAGAACAAGGAATTTGATTCTTTTAATTTAGAAACTTATCAAGATACGTTTAGTAATTTCAGTGCATATGAATATTTGTGTTTTGAATCTCATCTTCCAGGTCAATTCTTTACTCTGACTGTAAACTTCCTCGAGTTAGTGACTTATGTACTCCACTCGGGACTGTATACTTGTATCTAAATAAATCTATTTATAACTGTTGTTAAATTTGAACCCCAATGATTAGCCCACATGGCATCTCATTACAAATTGGCACAGGATTTTGGGGTATCTAATGACGGGTTGGTTGTAATAAAGAAAGAATAAAAAAAAGTTAGTTTAAGTAGGCATAAGTAGCATAAGTTAATATAAATGGGTACTACTGTCATGGATACTATGACAGAAGAGGGTGTTAGAAGGGCTGATTCAAATTTTGGGGCTGTGGAGATCAACCCACACCAGTAGGTCCATATGGTGCTATGCACTGAATGGACACAATATTATCATTTCATGGTATGATTGATGAAGATATCGAGAGTTATATCGATGTATTAAATGAAGCTGATAGAATTTTAGGCTGGACAGATGCTCTAAAAATAGACATATTAAGATTAAGAACAGCAACAGAAGCTAAGCATCACATTAGAGCTTATGATGAACTGTGAGAAACCACAGATTTTCACTATTTAGTGCACAGCTTAGTACAGGAATATATAAAGCAAGAAACACCTAACACAATTATGACACAGATACATAGCCTGACTCAGTAGAGAGGAGAGTCAGTCAGAGTATTTGGGCATAAGCTACAAGAAGTAGGTAACAGATTACACAGAGCCTATAGACACGCCAATAAGCTAGTGATACAGGATACTTTACATTCAGATTATGAGTAAGGTCTGATCAGTAATATAACCAGAAGAAACGTAAATGAGGCTAACATACCTGATACAACTCTGTTAGATTTATTTGAAGTAGCCACACGACAGGAGCTATGTGAAAAGCAGATCAATAAGCTCCAGAATCATACTATAAACAGAGTAAATGGTAGAAGAAATGACAAAACAAATTGGCAGAACAAACAGAATAAGCTCAATGGCCTAAAATGGATTAACCGTGGTAAGATAGGGCATATGACAAAAAATATTTCCAGAAACAGAAAAGAAATAAGGAATAAGAAACCACATAGGTAGAAACTGCATACACCCACCAAACGTAGAAAATGAAAAAGCCCCAAATACTGGGACTTTCAGAAGGAAGTGCCCTAGAAACAACAGTAGCTCTATATTCACTTTAGAATCAAACAACGTAATTCCCGTTGGTATTATGGAACAAAAGTGGAGGTAATTCTGGCAGTTTGGAATAAGAGATTGAGTGTGTTAATGAAGTGCCTCCAGTAGTTATAAAAGAAATAGAGAGTATCAGTTATTGGTCGACGTAGATCATTTCTGCTAAGTGTAGAATTAGTGAATGAAAATCCGACATTGTTCAATAATGTTTGGAAGGAAGTTTCTTAAAGTACTTTAACTTCCATAACAAGACATCCTGTTAAAATGCTAGGCAAATATAGTGTTCAGTTAAAATAAGAGACTTATAACTAGAACACCCATTTTACATCTGTAAGCAGATAGACTTAGAAACAACTGGTGTTATAGAGCAGGATTTTTTCAAGGCTTATTACACTGATGTATCTCTTACCAGTGACCTTTATTTATTTCCACATTATGCTGTCCCATTGCAGCTAATTTCTCTCTACTACTAGCATTACTTTTCCTCATTTGTGTTCAACACTTTTATAGACATTGTGTCTCTTTGGATACTTTACTAATCCAAGCAGCTATATACACTCCTGCTTCTTCTATTTTGATAGGTTAAATTTAACTTAAAGTCATCTACTTTAGTTTCAATAATAGATTGACTACTCGCAGGCACTTCAGATACTTTAACTAACCTTCTATCAAACTCTCCTGTTGAGATGCTTTGTTGTTTATGTTAGGCATAAGTGTGGAGCCATCTGAGGGGTTTGATGTATTATTACCTTGTTCTCAAGTTTTCTTTTCTACTTTATTATTAATTTTCTCTGTACTACTGCTTCTACTAATAACACTTTTGCTAGGCTTAGGGCTTTTCTTTTTATTTCCTCTAATGGGATTTCTCTTTCAATGCTTCATATTCTTACCATGCCAACCTTGTCGTGTATCTCTACGCTTAGGAGTATCCGTGCTTTTTCTGTTTTGACTGTTGATCCTTAGCCTTGCTAATGTTAGCATTTGGTATCTGACTATTAACTTTAGTCAGCGAAAAGGTATCAGTTGTTGCAACTTTAGCACGTAAGTCTGAAGGTATGACTCCTGCAAAACTTAAGATCTCCATTTCTATGTGCAGCTTACTTGCACAACAAAGCAAGATAGATTGGAATTCTATTAGGTATACACGACTGTTTCCTTTAATTTTAATATTAGAGTTATAAATAAGATATTTATAATGTACGAGTGTTAAATTAAGTATTTTTAGAAGTGATATTTTATCGCAGGTTTGTTTAAATAAGTGTATACAAATTATATGTTGTGCAGTTCACTAGTAAGTGATTGTTATATTGTCACATCATATTACTAAAACCTTCTATGTTTTTTCATTGTTTCATTGAGTATTGTTACATCATAACATTTTGTATTTTGTAGAAAGTTTTAGGCCTCAGTCGGGATATATAAATATATATATATATATAGGCCACCAAGGTTAATGCAAGCAAGTTAGTGAAAGAGATAGTTAGACAGATCTAGATTGAGTGATTGAGAATTTAGTGTCAATTCACAAGGTGAATTTATCACAGATTTGTTTGGCAATAATAAAGTAGGAAATAATAAGTTGTCTTGTCAAATGGGTTTTAAAGTAATTGAACCATCCTGTGTGTGGACTTTTGATGAAAAGAGACAATTATTTAACGCTCTGGGAAAAACTGTAGTAACCAGCAGTTAAGTTAGTGAGAATGAAAAAGTGAAGTTACATTGTGTGTAAATTTAGTCATAATGGGGGATTTCTAAAATTAATTTCAGAGTAGGAAGAAATAATTTGTCTTGTCATAGGATGTTCTAAAGTAAATGAACCCACCTGTGTGGACTTTGATAAAAAGGAGACAATTATTTAAAGCTCTGGATTCAACTGTGGTAACCAACAGTTTTATAGCGGTGATTTTAAAGTGAGTATCACAGCCTTGTATTTAATAACAGAGTAAAGGAGAATAACGTTTCTTGTCAAATGGTGTTCTAAAGTAATCGAACTCCCCTGTTTGGACTTTGGCAAAAAAAAAGAGACAAGATACAATTATGATAACCAATAGTGAAGCGAATTTCTGTACATACATTTGACATATTTTGAATATATTACTTTAAAGCAAGTGGCTTGTGTACTGTCTGTTTTATTGTTGAACTTTATCGCCAACAAGTTACTGGCACCTATTATAAAACCTGACACATTCTATATTAGGAAATAAAGAAAACAAGTATAACCAAGAGATAGTGAAATTCTTCGAGGAATACACTTGCAGGAGAGAATGATAGAATTAAATTACAGAAAGCCTAAGGCACAGAAACCCTTTGGAGAGCCAGAGATGCACAGGGTAGAATTAATAGAATGTGTAAAGCAGATGCTTGAAAAAGGAGTAATAGTAGTAGTCCGTTGCATCTCCAGTTGTTTTAGTTCCTAAAAAGGATGGTTCTGTGTGAAATTTAGGAAGCTGAACAATATCACCATTAAAGACATCTATCCATTCCCTAATATCTGGGAAACCCTATATAGGTTAGATATAAATACATATGTTTCATACAAAGTGGGTATTGGAAAGTAGAAATAGAAGAAAGAAATATAGCTCAAACTGCATTTGTGTTACTGTCATACAAGTACCAATTTAATAGGATGCCTTTCAGGGATTGATGGATGTCATACTATCAGGTTTACCAGATCCTGAATGCTTCTGTTATTTAGATTCATGATGCTATAAAAACCCTATAACCCCGAGCACTTTCGAAAGGTGGACCTTCC